AATGTCAGGAATACGAATGAAAACTTCAAGAAAAATCCTTAAAAAATAATTAGAAATTTTAAATTTATTTTAAAAGAGTTGATTTCTAATTATATTTTAATAGTCAATAACTCTGACCTAAGCCTCAAAGATAAATTCTTTTAATCCAAAATATTTGGGAATTCGTCATAGTGAAAGTTAAATCACTCTCAGACTTAGGTTGTATAAGTAAGAAATAATTTAGATAGAAATAATTCGGACAATCCCTCAAATACAGGCTAAAATATATTAAGAGTATTCATAATATTTGAACTACATATATGTATATAAGACACCTTATAGCGCAACCTAGCGGTCAAAGCATCGCCTAGAAGTATAGTTAGGAACAACTTCAAGCTAAGCACGATAATTGTTCTCTTTCCTTTGCTTCCTTCTACAAGTGCAGACGAGAGCTTAATATGGAACTCATAAAAATGAGTAGATTCTATGTAACGTACATTAGCGACAGACTATACATATATACAAATGTTGTTTACAATCAGAATTAGCTATAAGAATTATCTAAGATAAAGATGAGTTGAAACTTTAATTTACATTTTAAAGACATTTATGATTTCTTCTCGAGACTATTTAGCTTAAGTTTTATGTGAGACAAGCTAAGACTTCTAGAGAATGTCAAGTAATCGATAAGTGTGATTATCGATAACTATTAGTCAGCTAGACTCGCTAGTCTAGTATGTTGTGAGAATTTATGCATATTTTACAAGAATTGAATCAGCTCAAAGATGCAAACTGCAGTTCATTAGAGAGAGAGAAAGAGATAGATAGATATATAAATAGATTTGTGCATTTTGTAATTAATAATGTTTCATAAATTGTGTGCTTATAATTATTATTAGTCAATTGTAAATGAGCATGCAAGTTGGATTGTTGTTCTAAACTCACTTGTGTCAAATCTAAACAAACGATGATGACGTTGTTGATTAATTATGATGGCAATGAGGGCATTGGCAGTGTTGAGGCGGTTCTTGTTATAGAATTATTATTATTGTTGTTGTTGTTGTTGTTGTTGCTGCTGCTGCTGTTGCTGCTGCTGTTGCTTGTTGGCTGTGGCAGTGTTGCAAGCTATTGGCTCTTCCACTGGGGGCAACAAACCGCAGCTAACGCCGCCCTCTCCGTGCCCGTCTCCTCTATCCACTCCAATATTGTTTTGTTTCTTTGGCCCGGCACTCGGATAAGTTCATTTAGCACTGCACTTCATTTATATATATATATATATACATATACATATACATACACATATACATATACATATATATGTATATATATATGTA